CCACAATTCACTGTTGGTGAATAACAATATCAACCAGATTTATGCAAAAAAAACACATGTTTAATGGTTAAATATCTTACTGTATACTATCCATGATATCCATGGCATTCATCAGATGAAGCATGATTCAGGGTTTTACAGGATAATACGTATGTTATGCGATTCATTCAACCAGTGCCCTATGGGTAGTTGCTGACGCCGTGCCGGGTGGCCTGTGCGTTTTAGCTCATTTTTGCGTTTTGTATATATATATATACACACACACATGGGGTGGGGTGGGGTGGGGTGGGGTGGGGTGGGATATGAACGTCCTGACGACCATGTCCTTGATACTACGTTGTCAATACATGTTCCACCAACTAGGAAGACGTTGATGATGCAACGTGATGCAACGTTGATATAGTATGAATATACATATGGAATAGTACACATAAGGTCTGAGTATACATCCCCTCCGTGTAGCATATATGGACTCTAGACATCATTCTTTGCCATCCTGCATGCTATATCACATCACGTCTCATCCTTTTCCCCTGAGTAGGCATTGAAAGAGTTGGAACGATGTGGAATCAGAAACAACATTGACTCAAAGGCAATTGGTGCCTTGTACTCAGACGGTGCTAAAGCATGGCAAACTATGGCTTGTAAAATGCGCATGTCTTTAGTGCAGGTGAATCATCAGGCAAAACAGTTCGCAGTCAAGTTGAAGAAAGCGCCCAAGAGGGGGTTTAGCAAAGTTGGAGGCACCCAGAGTCTTGACAGAACTTGATTATTTTTGAAAAAATGGCTCCCAAAGCAGTTTAATATCAAGAAAAGGTCCACAGGACAAAGCCTAGTCAATCTTCACCTGAAGGAAAAGATGTTTCAGTGGTTCTGGCGTCGCAATAGGCATGATTCAGGGTTTTACAAGATTAATACGTATGTTATGCGATTTAACCAGTGCCCTATGGGTACTTTCCTTTGCGACCTTCTCAGGAAGTTATTGGACCCACAGGGACGGTCATGTCCAATTGATGTCATGAAAGTTTCCATGAAGAAATGAATAATGGTTACCACCAAGATCCTTACAGATCCATTATCCTTACAGATCCATTATATAGTGTTTGGTAGTATCCAATTCACAGTCATAAGTATTCATAATCATAAATAATGGCACTAATTTAATGTTAGTTAAAAGCAATAATATCAAGAAATATCATCAGTTATCACTGACTCTCTCTCTTGGTTAATCTCCCCTAACTTTCATTAGCAATACCTATCATTCGCTGAGTTAAGATATATATATATATATAAACATATCAATCAGTATCATTAAATACGGGATATTCATAGTGGATATTGGAATTTTATATCACCATGAAACCTTGGTCAGGTGAGATATCCTTCATATCCTAAGTGAATATTAATTTATTCATGGTCCATTTCTTTCCCTCTTATCAACGTTTTTCATAGGATAAATATTCCTTATCCTGAGTTGGGTGGGATATCATTGAGATAACATATAGCTAACTTCCAAGTAGTTATAGTTACTATAGATCAACATCAATAATTATAACTATCATAAATCCTAATACATGTTCATAGGCTAACTACCCCTTAACTTCTCCATGAGTTAACAACAATGATATTGATATCCCTCTTAGTTAGTATCCCTGAATTATCATTTGCTATTTGGCTATCTATCACTATCATTAGTTTGGTAAGTATTCTAAGTAGCCCTTAACAAACTTATCCTTACTTAAGATATCCAACCATTATCCTTAGTTACTCAACATCAATACGTGATATAGGTATTTATCCTAGGTTATCATGGCCTATTATCCTGGCGGTTATTGGTGTGATATAGGATCATAGGTTAATAACCATTTAATAGTTATAACATATAGTTTTCCATATGTTAATAATTTAATAGTTTGATAGCTATAACAATTTATATAGTAGGTTAATAACATTTCATAACCATGTAAGAACTATCAATGACCATCCGTGAATAACCATTAATAACTATCAATAACCATTTAATAGGCTAATAACCATAGGTTGATAACTTTAATAATTATCAATAACCATTAAGCATCGCCAGGATACAATTTTTGGATGGTGGTTTCAAACCTTTTTATTTTCCATTATATATGGGATAATCCTTCCCATCGACTTTCATATTTTTCAAGATGGTTAAAACGACCAACCAGATTTAATAGTTAATGGGGGGAATGATCCACTGGCTAACTATCAATATTCATCCCAGCAACCCCCATTCCCATCCATTCCCTACTTACTAAGCACCAGTAAGTAGTATGTATACATGAATCTAGCATCTTTGCACAGTCTGTGACAAAGAACAACATAAACATTAACCACCATTAACCACCATTAACCACCATTAACCACCATTAAACCCATATAAACCAGGACCTGGTCACCGTCTCCGACCTCGACGCTTTGCACGTGGCCACCGCCCTACACCGCCTGGCGCGCCTCGGGGGCCGCGGTCTGGCGGCGTCCACGGCGGTGGAGGCGTTGCTGAAACGCCTGGAGGATGGAACCATGGAGAAGTTGGGAGTCACTTCGATTTAAACCATGAAAATCATGGGAAAACTCTGTGAAACTATGGGAAAACTTTGTGAAACTATGGGAAAGTCCCTGGGAAAAGTATGGGAAATCAATGGAAACATCACATGGGGATTTCATGAAAACTTGGGAAATCGTAGTGTTTTTCGTGGTGAATCTAGTGGTGAAAGTCCTTGGGATATCATTGGGATAGTTTTATCATGTGGGGCAGCCGGAATCTTATCGAAACGTTTTATGTTTTTCGTTCTCTTCATGGACCATGAAAGTCCTTAGGATATCTTGGCCCCACACGGTGAATTCTGTGGTTTATGCTAGCTTTCACTATAGTGGATGTAAATGGAATTGACCAACCTTCTGACTATAGTTGATGGTTTTGTTTGTTTTAAGGGATGGTTGATATACTTTGGAATATGGGATATACTTTTCAGTATTTCAGTATTTGGATCATGAATTTTTTGCATACAATATCTTGGGATATATAGTTCACGGGTCCCAGTTGGAATCTTATGGAATATTCGTTTCAACGGGAAGTATACTATTTCTGTAGACATTGTATCATGGACAGGAGAAGAGTCATGCCAAAGGTCAGTATCATCTAAGGTCCTTGATGATACATCTACTGACGCAAAATGTGTATATCTATCCTTGTGTCTACATTTGGGAGATGCCACAAGATGTGGTGGTGCCAGTGCGATTGATTCACTGGGTTTTGGCCTGCTTGTGGAACCAAAGCATGTGGACTGTTGAGAGAGATCAGTCGAGCACTCTGCGGACCTACCAAAGCCCCGTGGAAATTGACGGATTACAATACAAGCTTTCAAAGAAAACATATAGTATACATATATAATTTATATATATATAGTTCATTATATATACACATATGTAATATATATATAATATATATAATTAATGTATGTATATATATATATAAATATAATTTATATATATATATATATAACAACTTGGTGACATAAATTACCAGAAGTGATGGACCATGCGGGAAGTCCCGTGGAGAAAGGAAGCCAAAGCCCCATATCTGTGTGTTTTTGTAGCAGTGTTTAATGAGTGAATCTTCATCTCTACAGAGAGGTGGTACATGCAGCTGTGGGTCTGATTCACCAGGATGGCACTTGAAGCACTTGCGATCTTGGAAGCAGCTACTATACGACACCTCGGTTGAGTGGTACGCGCTGGGCTTCTTGCTTTTCGAACTATAGTCAGGAAGCAGCGCATTTCAGCATTCTGTCGGTACCAGCGGGCGCAGCAGGCGGAATGAAGACAGGAAGTGATGGAGATGTACTTGCAGCGGCCTGGGTATGAAACAACCGGTATACACAGGTGATTGTATAACCTATATACGCGATGGTAGATGAGAGGATTAGAGTCGAGCAGAATAGCCAGAAATGGGGTATGACTTACCAAGATGGTCATTTTCATCATTGCAAATCGTTAAACACCTTCAAACACGGTGCTAAAAGAAGCCAGTTACCCCAAAATTGTGTTTGTTTCGATACTATTCCCAACGTTCTCCAAGTATTCAGTATTCCCATTGTATTTGTCCTCCATATATAAAAGTTGGGAGTCAACTACCTTGCACTCCATCATATCCCATCATTTAGAAGATGATACTCTCAACATCTCAATAGAGCTAGGGTCATAAGAGAAATTGCCTTAAAAGAAAAACATAGATATGATAATAATAATCATCATCACCACCGTAATAATGATAGTAATACATAATGATAACTATCATCATCATCATCACCATCATCACCATTACCTTGTTCATTGCATCAAAATCATCATCCACCAAAGGTTAATCATCACTTTATTGTTGATCACCATCATCATCATCATCATCATTGATTTATTTAATCACTTATCATCTTTATTTATGATGTGTTTTTCTTTGATCACTTTATTACCAATGGCCCACCAAAGGCTAATCAATGGACAATGATGGTGATTATTAAATTATCTACCAGTGGTTCATCATCAAAAAATTGGTCATGGAATGGTCCACTTTATTTACTATTTACCCTCTGGTAAATTAACATAGACCCTGAAATCAATCAATTTACTGGAGGGTACCCTCTGGTAAACATACAAAAAATATGGGAAATCACCATTTTTAATGGGAAAATCAACATAATCAACTATTTCTATGGCCATTTTCTCTCATTACTCAAAGGTATCAACCATTCCATCGCCCATTTTTTCTCTGTGGACCAAGGCCCAGGCGCAGGTCTCGCTGCTTTGGGCCGCCGCGAAACTCTCCTTGGGCGGTCCCTGGCTGTCGCGTCTGGGGAAGGCGCTGGAGGTCTCCGACCTGTCAGGCCGCGCGGGCCGCGGCAAGGGGAACGGTGGAAAGGGCGGATTTTTGACGGTAGAAATGGTACTTTACTATGGGATTCTAGATGATTTAGGATGATTTAAGCATATATATATATATGTATATATATATATGTATATATATATATGTATATATATATATGTATATATATATATATATACAATCCTTGAAATCCACGGAGAGAATGGAATTTGGGATGAGAATTGAGCTGTGTTGGGATATCTTGGGATGTTTTTGATGGGGATTCAAGATGATTTCACCAAAGAAACATGGTGAGAATGAACTAAAGATCATATGTGCCATGAACATAGAAACATTATATATGTGGAAAATTGTACTTTTCAACAGAATTCCATTCTCACAAAATATATACATGTCAAATTTCAATGAAACACTTCTTGATAAAACTTACTAACACTAGCCTAGCTCATTAAATTCCAGCAGATCTCAGTAAGAATCAACAATCCACTATCGTTTTTTTTCCAATAATCCATTCATAATTCCAGTCATTTCCAGCAAATCCCAGTAAATCCAGTAGATCCCAGTGTGTTTTTCCATGTTTTTCCCAACGACTCCACCATCTCCCAGCCGCGTCCGACGGAACCTGAGGCCATCAGTTGGCCACGGCCTTCTACGCCCTGGCGCGCTTGGAGTCCGGAGGCTTCCCAGCGCAGGCGCAACCCATGAGGATTTAACCAGCAGAAATTCAGGATTTACCCTCTGGTTATGTCAAAATAGCTATTGAAAATTTTCCCATTAAAAATGGTGATTTTCCATAGTTATGTCAGTCTGGATTCACTTGAAATGATGCTTAGTAAGATTTACCCTCTGGTTATGACTAACATAACCATGGTATAGATGGCCCATAGAAATAGATGGTTTACCTATTAATAGCATGGTGATTTTCCATGGCTGTGTTAGTCATAACCAGATGGTAAAGGGCTTTTCACAATCATAATGTGGTTGGTGGAGATTCAACTGGTTCTAATCCTAACAATAATTCATAACAATCATAATTCCTAATGTCGATTTATGATTATTAGGATTTTAACAATCATAGTCTGGTTGATAGTTTGGAACATGGCTTTTATTTTCCCCAATAGTTGGGATGATGATCCAATCTGACGAACTCATATTTTTCAGGGTCGAAACCACCAATTAGATAATTCATAATGTGGATTTATGGAGATTCAAATGGATTTGACTATTTGACCATCAAAACTAGGGATTGTCAAGGGGATTTACCTGGTAAACTAACATAGACAACTGGAAAATCACCATTTCATAGCTAGGTAAATCAACGAACTAAATGGCTATGGCTTCAATAGCTTTGTCAGTTTACCAGAGCGTAACATGCAGAAATGGGATTCTAAGGAATTTTACCTATGGGATTCTGCATATCGAAATGGGATTTGAGTGATGTTACTGATATAAATGGGGTTCAAGCAGGATTCCTGGATTGAAACATAACCACATGGTTCTATGCAACATGGATGGAGATCTATCACAGTGTGGATGTAAGCAACAGAGATTGGGTTTCATCTTTTTTAAGCAAGCAACTGGTAATATATGGTAATATGACATACTAAATGACTAGAAGCTGCATGCTACAAGCAAATACCAAAGGATGTAATCCCATCCCCCTAGGCTCTGGTCATTTGGCATAGCGAACTGGATATTTCGCCATGTCAAACAGGAAGACCATCTATAAATGGTTCGTTTTCCATGGCATTGCCAGTCAAATGACCAAAAGGTCGTTCCAGAATCTGCAGAATCCCATGATTTAACACTGGCACTTCCGGAGCGGCGGCTGCAATGACTCCAGGAATTCCAAGACCTGGTAGAACAGTGACTGGGCAGTCAGTTGGGCAGTTGGGTATCAGCAACTTGTGATATCTTGTGATATCTAGTGATAGTCAGTGTCCTTTGATTTTGGACCAGCAGTATGTTTGTTGAGAAATGACTGCAACTAGATCTCGAGTGATCCGCAAACGATCCATGGGATCTCACTGGGAGGTCCGAGCGGAAGCCAATCATTTTGCCTTTTCGTTTCGCCTAGTAGGGAACATCCACTGGTTGGTGGTTTGGAACATGGTTTTTATTGTTCCATATTTCGGGAATAATCATCCCAACTGACTAATATTTTTCAGAGGGGTTGAAACCACCAACCAGTCCAAGTTTGCGTATACCCACGAGACGCTTGATCAGACCAATGGACGCTGAAAACATCTCTTCTGAGCAAAACGGATCCTTCACGTCAAAATGTTCCGCCCCCTATCGTGTGATAACTTGCCAAGACCCTGGTTCACCACATAGTCACTATTCCATTTAACCAACCATCATAGGCTTGAAAACGGTTCAGACGAGAAACCAAACCCCTGATATTTGGATTGCGAAATATCAAACGCACACATCCAGTGAAGTGGTCTGAGATGAAACATGAAAGGACGTGATGTTTTTGTTTTAATGATTGTAAGGGTGTCATAAGGTAACAAAATACTGCGTTGATGCAGATTTCCAGAATATACGCCTAAAGGCTTGATCACTAAGAAATCCTATATGATAAAAAACAAATACATTAAACACATAAAGACATTATACATATATATTTATATAACTATATAACTATATAACATATATCCCCCTGAACTGCCAGTCATGGTCCAACTGCTTGTCATTCCCAGGTTGCATCGGGAGTTGCAGCGTAGACAGAAAGCCTTGGGGCCCGGTGGGACCTCGGCCCTGGCGACTTGGCGAAGGGTTCAGTTTGGGCTGGAAAGATGGGATTTTTAAAATGGAGTTTTTAGGTATTGTTTAGTTTTTTTTTCAAGGAATTTTTAGGGATATTTAAATTTGTGTTTGTTTTTTTGTTGTTTAGCGTTTTTTTTAATGATTTTTAGAGATGCTTATCCCAAATAAGTTGGGATACTGACTGATGACTGGCCAAATATTATTGGTTGCCATGACTTACAGTCCATAACTTGGGATTTGCCATAGCTACCGTGATTTTTTTGCCGATTTTGACTCCAAGACTTCGTTGGGATACTCCCTGGAAAACCTAGATGGCAAAAACTGAAGATTTGGGGATGGATAAAGATACGGACAGTGGGTATCCCAAACTCCATTGGTTGATCATCATTTTCCCCCTTCCGCAGAGCCATGTGGAGACCTGGAGCAACGTGCCGTTGTGACTTTAGGACAGCATTCTGTTGGCTGATGCTCTGGCGAAGCTGCAGATCCGGGATGCATCTTGGCGTTCAAAATGGTGACCCTTCTGTTGAAAATCTTTATCCCCTCTTAAGTAGAACAAACTCGGATTCAGCAACTAATGATTCCACAACTTATTTGGTCGGATTCAGCAACGTTTTTCATCCCCTCGAAGTAGAATCAATGTGTCTAGGGATGAAGTGGGGCCATGGGACGACTTGTCCCAGAAAAATGGCACTGGACTCACTGGACTCCGGCCAAGCAGTGGAAAAAACGCGCGAGAAATCCGGTTCCACAACTCGATGCTTCACCAAGGATGGTTTAGGAAATGATGAATATATGGTTTATATATATATGGTGAAATCACCTTACGACATGATGCGAACTGTTCACCAAGTGCCCATATGTACCAAGACATTTGGGACGCTTTCTTCAGCATCCTGGGTTGCGAACCAACAGTGTTTGTGCGGGACCCAAACGATGAGTTGCTTGAAATAGCTACAAGTCTGCGGATTGGTTTTTGTTGGATATATAGCTATAGTATCTATAGTTTGAAAATCAACAGTTGGTTGATGATATATAGCATAGTTTCTAAGCATTTTCTATTCTTTTCTTATCCATAACATAGCTAATGATATATAACGATAAATAGCTTATGACAACCTCACTTGCTCGTTTCTAAGCATGTTCTAGGCATTAAATCCTTCCAATCCCCAGGATATCGACAAAATGTTCTATCCATACAGGGAATAGTATTAAAACATGTATACATACACCATGATATTCCCATTAAATGCTACAAAACACCACACAATCACCATTCCTGGTAGTTAAAGTTGACTAATCGTTGACGAACCATAGATGTTCACCATTGTTCCAACCATTGACTCACCAGTTTTTCCATTTTCCAGTTGGTTAACCATGGGTAATTAACCATTTATAGATATTTATAGTAGAACCATTATTAACCAACCATTTATAGTAGATCAATGTGTATATATATATATATTATATACTGGTTGGTGGTTTGGATCATGGCTTTTATATTTCCATTTCATATATGGGAAGATCACCAAGCAGTTTTTGATTCATTCACCATTTATAGATATTTTTCTAGAGCCATTATTAACCAACATTCGGATCCTATGGGGTATAGATCATTCACCATATACTGGTTGGTGGTTTGGAAGATTTTTATTTTTCCATTTCATATATGGGAAGATCACCAGATCATTCACCATTTTCCGACCCTTCACTCAGCATTTCTCCGTGGACCAAGGAGCCCCTCTTCAGCAGCCTGGCGACTGCCTTGCTGAAGCACCTGGAGGCCAAGCAGCTGGGCGTCCGAGAGCTGCGCCACGCGGCCAGCGCCTTTGGACAGTGCCGCGGTGGAAGAACGGGGACGGCTGGAGCTGGCTGGGAAAATCCGGGGAAAATCCGGGGAAAATTGGCATTTTTTGGTGGAAAATGGCGATTTTTGAACGGAAATGGTTGGAAAATGGTTGGAACATGCTGGAAAATGGATGGAAAAATGGTGGAAACTGTCGATGTTTCTTGTAATTTCATGGAAACATGTTGGAAAACTTGCGGTTTGTTCTGGAAACATGCTGGGAACATAGTGATTTGTCGTGGAACATGATGGACATGTATGGTGATTTTTCTTGTAAAACGGGGAGCATGGGTGATTGTTCGTGGAACAAAATGGTAAGTTGTGTAGAACATGATGGGCATATTGATATTGTTTTTGTGCAAAACTGCTGAAATGGTCTTTGAACATATTGAATATCTGACATGAGAATTTCCGTGTTTGACCTCTATGATAATGTAGATGTTAAATACAATAAACATTCAATAAACTAGATGCAACTCTATAAATAAGTAACCTGGATATGTGTGTACTCGTTCAGCAGGGGATAGGAAAGCAACTCATGCGTATTTAATTGGTATTTATCACTGGAACCACAAAGTGATTCACTCTTGTGATTGAAGCAACCCTGTCTTCCAGTGAGGACCTTCATTAATCTTTACTTACATCCAATTGTGAAGTAGGAGTAAAGACATCAATCATGGCATGGGGTATGGGCCAAGAAAATCATTGCAGGGATGTGGGAGCTTCACATCAATAAGAACTATTGGGAGCTTCACATCCGAGATTGGCAATATTTCAGTGGATGAGAATGTGGATTCGCCATCAATTTTTTTTGTGGATTTCAACCAATTGAGGTTGAACATTTCAGCAAAGATCAGGCAGCAACCTCCAGGATTTTGGAACCATATTGATTTCATATCTGGGGGGCTTAAGTGTGATGGTTTGTGGAGGCCAATCTGAATGGATCTCCCAGAAAACCACATGGTGAGAGATGCAACAAACAAGATAGGGAGATTAAACCCAAACGAATCCGCATTCCATCCACTATATCGATGATGTGTTCAACTTGTATCCGAAATGTAATTAAGCAACTAGATTGAGCGTAGAAGCAGCAAAAGTGATTCCCCAACAAGTCTAGGCATCCTCACCAACAATCCCCTAGGTTTAGCCACATTCTTGTGCTATCTTGGGACAGGGTGCCACATTTTGCCGAGGATGGGATTTGTGGACAAACAGTTGATGGCTAAAATGATGGGCTGGTGGGGTGTCCCAGACGAAGACGCTTCGCCGGAAATCTGTGATTTGGAACTGGCATCATGTTACTGTAAAAAAAACATATACCATGGTATTTAAAATATATTTCTACCATAGTAACATCATGTTACTCCAACTGTATTTATATAAAAGATATATGCCCTCCTGTAAACTGACAGTTCGATGTGGAACAAGTCCATCATTTGTAGGTCGTTTTCCGAAGGGGAACCCTGGCTGGAACCACATGTTGTTAAACATTGAAATCTTTCATGTTTAATAAGTAAATCAACTATCCCATAGGATCCATGTATGCTATATATGGTAACATGGATCCCATCAATATACCCCAAATGTTAGCATATATACCATACATGGATCCTATGGGATAGGTAAATCAACTATTAATACAACTATAAATGGATCATGTTGAAAAACATCTTTTTGTATGGTTACCTGAGGGTATCAAGAGAATCTTCAGCCAGTTACTGTACAGGGTTAACCACCGATCCTCAGCTGGATCCTCCCAACAGGCTGCAGACGCGTTTGGACCACTGCAGTTCCAGCGATTTGTGCCTCGGCTGGCGTGGCTCGTGAGGGTCACAACTAATTTAGGCTTCACATATTTCAGGTAGTCTACAACTCTAGATCACGCTTCGAGTTGCTAGTTTCAGATATTAAAGTTACTTTCCATCCTGCTTTGAGGATTCTTAAAGGTAACTCCTTCCTGTTATTCACAATATAACTTAAATACATTATGGTCATTATCGGGAAATTTCCGAAATTATCCTAAAAATGGTGAAAAGATAAATTTACAGGAAACCCTCCTGTTTGAGGGTAGAAACCATGGTTGCCATGGTTTCCTGTAGTTTTTCCCCTCAAATATCTTATGTCAATCCGATGAAATTGGTAATTATAAATTTCCCCAATGATGTCCTAATTATCCAATGATTTCCAATGATATTTTTCAGGACTGATCTTTTCGGGTAGCAATTGTTTATCCAAATAATCCACTCAAGTCACTAAATTTCATCTGTTCGATGAAACCAAATCTCCCAAATCCGCAAGGATTTGTCCAATCTTCCACGAAATTCACCTAAGAAATCCACTCTTTTCCCCACAAATCCCAGGTCCGCCTTGTCCTTCAGCTTCTCCCGTTGCCTCCCCGCCGTGCCCGCGGGTCGCGCCTTCTTCGGCGCGCTGGTCCCGCAACTGGCGGCGCGCCTAGAGCGTGGGGAGGTCTCGCCGCAGGAGGCGCCGGGGGAAAACTGCGAAACACATATGAATTCCACGGTTATACCCTAGGGTAAACACATTTAACAAATGCCTAAAAGCCAGGGTTTTCAATAAGAAAATGATCTACAAATGATCAATTTTTCAGATCTATGTTGGTTTACAGGAGTAAAAATGTTGGTTATCTAATGGTTACAAAGATCCAAACCTAAATGGTTAAATTTGTTTTAAACAACAGACATGGGGAAGCTCTGCTGCTTCCCATTGAACTGCCTTGAACAGATATATGATATATGTGGGGAAGATGCTGAATGACAACCGCCAACATTCTATTGCAGGTATCTCTGGATGCTAATTATTTTGATTCTGGTTATATCCCATAGAACAGCACCATTGTATATCCCGATATTAAGCGGATAGAACTACCCAAATACATACTCCATCATATTCCAACTTCATCTGCTAGATTCTGCTAGTCCCCGATCATCTCCCGGTTTTGGGTCATAAGATGACACAGAAGTTTGCTTCTGGTCGGCTCATCCCACTCAGTAGCTTAGTTCACCCCAGTTATAAGTGGATTAACCCCTGGATTTTCACTGCCCGGCCATGTCCCGATGATTCCCGATGCCTCAGAGGCCACAGTCTTCCTGGTGAGCTTTTCCCAAGCGCATCTGCTGGATGATCACGCGGAGAGCTTGATGCGCTTGGCGCCGCTGATCGAGCGCCTCACTGGGGAAGTTGGACTGGGTGCCTGAAACTATCTCAAAATAAACCACCAAGAGAAATGGTGATTTAATGGGACTTGATGGAGATCACAAAAATGGGAATATCATGGGGATTGAAACACAATATAAATATACTGATCTATATACTGTAGAAAAAAAGATACTGATCTATATACACCAATCATGATCGGGGATACACCAATCGGTAAGTCAATGGAGATTCCCAGAGGCCAACGATGTGAAAAACAAGCCCCATTTTTTTGATGGAAAAAATAGCACCTATTTTTCATGGTGATGACTGGGGGATTGTGGTAGTATCCCATAAATAATATGGTGATTAAACAATTGATTAGTTGTTGATGGTGATGACTGGGAATAGTTTATGAAATTGTTTAATCACCTCATATCAAATCTTTTTTGTTTGTTTTTTTCAGATATGTAGCCAACTTGATATGATACGACGGTGTCACCTTTATAACCTGTTGTTGTTCCTGTTTGGGGCACAGGTTGGTGTTTTCCAAATAATCAACTCCAGGGGCTTGAGCAGGCATGGTGGTAACCGCGAAAACATGTCGAAATGTTTGGAACTTCATGTAGAAACATGGAACCCCCCCAAAAAAAGTAAGTGTCCAATACATATCAGGCATATCATAAACATTTATGAACCAACTGTTAGTTTGTTTGGAGGTTCTATGATGGCGCTCAATGTATTTTCCTTAGCCACTTCCGCCAGCTTCTCCCCCCGAGGAAGTCACCGAACGCGTTGAATGGCCATTGGATGGCACCTTTTTGCCGAAACGAAACGGGCAGGTGGTGTTGGCTGGTGAAAAATCTGAAATCCTCGACGAAAAAACAAAAGTGAATATGTATCCCTGATACTCCAGTCTGGTAGATTAACCCGATCTTTCGGAGACTTGGAGGCTTAATATTGATATGCTGATATGCACATATATATATTATAATATATTTATTATAATATATATATATATTATAATATATTTATTATAATATATATATATATATATTATTATATTATTATATAACTATATACATATATATATATTATTGTTACTACTATTATTATTATTGTTACTATTCTTATTATTATTAGTATTAGTATTATTATTATTAATATATAGATACGTGCTGCATGCATGCATGTAGATCGATGGTATCAGTATGGGTATGGATCATGTGGGGTACTCTAAACGTGGTTGCCCACCAACACATATGACGAAAATCTGCAGCTTTGACGTGACACGGGCCCTTCAAAGTGTTTCCAAGCCTTGGAGATGTGGACTTTCATGCACTCTATAGTTCATGGATGTTCATGGAGAAAACCATCCTGTACCCTTCAAGCTGCTAGCTTATGATTCCAATCTTATCTGTCTAACTCAGCATTTGTTTCACAACCGTTTTTTCATACAGTGAACCAAGTGGTCCTTTACCGTATTTCTGCACATAGTAAGTTCAATGGAAACGGCTAACAGCAGGACAACTTTTGGGCACCGGGAACGGCTTTGTCTCTGAGGCCTTGTTGGTTCCCGGCATCAGCCATTTAGCCAAAGCTTCGCTAATGGAGGTGCTTGCGAACCGAAGCAGTCGGGAGCCACGGTGTGGAGCTGACTGCGCATTTTTGCGGTTTTGCAAAGTAAAGGATGATGGGTTGGAAAGGCACAATAGTGCCACATCATCATGGTGATCTGGTGAATATTCAATGCATTCTAATGTTTTTGAACATGCCATTGATGACCCAGGTAGGAATTCGGAAGATTGTCCAGTTCACAACCAGTTACGTCTCCAAATTCTGTCTGTTGGTTTCTTTCTCTATGCGTCAAAACCTCATGGCCGCTAATTTCGACGCATCTGCATTTCGTTATTAACTGTGTAGGAAATGCTGGTGATAAAATCGCTGGCTCTACATTCACGAACCATAGTACATAGTAATTATGAGTATAAGGGGATTCCCCAGGGAGTAAGCCCGTTATAGCCACTAAAAACATATTTTTAAAATCAGAGCACAGGAATTCCAAGTCTAGTTTGGGGATTCCATAGAAGTTCATCAAAATTCTATTGGGAATTACATACATATATATAGTTATTATATATATACATGTATGTATATATACATATATGTATGTATATCTTATATTAGACCCACCGGGAACTGCAGGTGTCAAGCTAGGCAAACACTTGGACGGGACGTACTTTAAACATTTGAAATCCATGGCCCGACCAAGCCATTGGTCGCCAGATCTAAGGTCAGCTCTCCACGACCTTGTCCCCGCGTCAGTTGGCTCGTTTGGCCATTGGTTTCGGACAAGGACAGCTTCAGAGTCCCAAGCTGTGGCAGTCTTTGACCAAAGAGGCTGAGCCAGGGAGCGGCTGAAGACTGACGGGAAGGTTGTTTTTTTTTGTAGAATGATGGTCTTCTAGTGAATCATCATCATGTTAATAATTAGTGTTTTTTTTTGTGAATAATCATGAATAATCATCATGATGATTCAGGCCAACTTGTATGAATTAGATGTGTTGTTCGTATTGATGTGCATTGCCAAAGGTGCCAAGATTGTGTGGTGCCGAGCAATTTTGACACGCTTCCGCATAAGACATAACATAAAACCGAGGGAAGCCTGGCTGGGTACTTCAGTGGATGATTCATTGGCATTAAAGGGAAGTAATCATGTTATATAATGTCATACATTGCTCACCAGTAAATTATGTTTGTGATTAGTATATGTCTACAGTACGATTAGTCCAACACCTTCCGAGGAATTTGGTAAACAGTTCTATAGCTTAAATTCCCAAATACATCTCCCAATTTATCCTGAACTTTGTTTCTAACATCCAAATACCGCTTGGAATGCCTGATATGTGTTGGGAAAACCACGGAGCAAGAAAACAAGTTAATATATGTTGTTATTGTTCTTCATTCTACAGTTTATGAAATTATATATGGTTGATTAAACTGAATTTCATTACCTTGAATCACCATTAAATTATCATTAATTTTTCATGAAATAAATTCCGTTTAGTACTGATGGGGATGGCTTACTGTTGGGTTTACTATTGGGTTTGCCAATGTTTACCAATAATTATACGTCCATTTTATTCCCATTATATTTCCACGATACACCATTTATTTTGGTAAATCTCTATTTTTGTTGCTTATTTCATGGTTATCGTTGGTTTTCCAATTAAATTCCCATGATATTCCCACGAAATCACTATTCAATCACCATAAAATCCACCATGCCTGGGGTATATCACCATATATTCCAACTAATCTTCCATTAAATCACCACAAAATCCCAATTTTGAAATGTGTAAATCCACCAGCCGTTTCCGCAGGCCATGTCCAAGTCTGGTTCCTTTTCAGCGCCCGATACCTTGCGGCTGCTGGCCGGCTTGGATGCAGCAAAGGTGAACGATCGAAGCTGGGCGAAGCTGCGGTTGGGGGATGTGGCTTGGGGGTTGCATGTTTGTTGTTTTTCTTTGCTTGCTAATGATGTTGATATGTGTTTTTGTTTCATCTGATTTCAGTTTTAGCAGTCATGGGTTTGATGTGGTTTTATGATGTTTTATGTGGATTTGTTGGTTTTAATATGATGTTTAGATGGTTTAATATGATGTTTATATGGTTTTATATCGTTTTCAATATATTTGTTTTATATTGGTTGGGGTTCCAAATTACAATTGCCATACCCAATGACTCACCAGACATGTGATGGAGAAAACCCTCCATTTCTTGTCGAGGTTTATGGCGGTTTGGCACCACGTTCTTGTTTGGGTTTTCCCAGATTTCCTTTGTTAAGTTCGAAATTCCAAATGTTGGTCTTGCCTGATGACTTTACTTCTGCCATGAATTTTGTTGGGGTGCGAGGTGTTGTTCGGTGTTGCAGTTTTGGATTCGTATTACATTGACGGTGTTTGGTTTTTGTATCGTTTGGAGGATACCTATACTCCAGCTGGGTGGCTTCACGCTTTTTGATTTCCATTCACTGAGGGGATTATTGTTCAAACATGGTAACTGATGATCCTCTTGGATCATCTCATTTCTGTGATCTTTCGATAGACCTAATAGACCTAGACATATTCAAACACCGCTGCTCGCTTTTTCAAACACATCTCACAGGAAAGCTCCTGAAGATCTTTTGGGCACGTGTTGCCGAGAAGCAAGCGACTTGGCGTGTGGATGCAGCGGATTCCAGCGGAGAGGGAGACATCTGGGTCCTCTGCTGATTGAACTGTTTGCTATTGAAAATCACATTTTTTTGATTTTTAAAGGGTAAATCATCTATAAATGGCAATTGTTCCATGGCTATGTTAGATTGAAATATTGTTAGCCTACATTCCAAATTCCAGTTTGTTGCTGTTCCATACCGCTCGACACAGCTGTTGATCTCATATCACCGAGAAAACAAAAAGAAAAACATGATAGTTCATAGTGTGATGGATCTGTGGTTCCCGCTTTCTTCTACAGTTCTGCATGTATGCTCCCGGCTGAGCTGTGGCCCATTTGGTCACTATTTACTAGCTGGTATAGTTCTCTTTTAGTGGGATATTTCATGATATACTATATGATATACTCCATTTGCTCACCATCCAAGTCGGTTTATCCGAACAATAGATAACAGATATTTCGCCTGAGATAATACATATATTAAATAACTATATATATATATCTATCTATATATATATATATATATATATCATATTAACTACATATATCATTCATATCTCTTGTCCTCTCTGTTTTGGGACAACGCCAGATGTGGATCTCGGATGTGAGGCAAAGTACCTTGCCGAAGAATTGTTGGCCTTGCTGCAGCTTTGGCCACGTCTACCGCCAGAGCTGCGGTCCGACGAGCTGCCACGCTGCTTGACGTGAGAAAATCGCTGGGTTTGACGTGAGAAAATCCTGCCCAAATCAGTGCAGGTGGTTTCAAAGAAACAGTTTCAGCTCGAAGCTGTGGCGAATATATCTGGTTGGTGGTTTGGAACATGAATTCTGTTTTTCCATATATTGGGAATGTCATCATCCCAACTGACGAACTCATATTTTTCAGAGGGGTAGGTATACCACCAACCAGAAAAGAACCTCCCAAGAGATAGAACAAGAAAATACAAGAAACACATATAGCAACATTGCGATGAATTGCTTTCTAGTTGTTTTTTGGGGGCTGCGGCTACTGTAGGTTTGTGTTAAGTTGTGTTTAAGGTGTACATGGAGAAATACATGAGAGATATACTACAGCCAGCTGGAAAACCCAGATGTTTTTTGCTTCGTGTATTCAAATCTAAATGGTCAAATATTGGCTGGTTGGTGGTTTGCAACATTTTTTCCATAATATATGGGATAATCCTTCCCATTGACTTATATTTTTCAAGATGGTTAAAACCACCAACCAGTTGGCCATGTTTGATTGTTATTGGTGATGCTCCTTTTACGCTAAGATGTGTGGATTGGATTTGTTGTCCATGGAATTTGTTTCTTGGACAAAGGAGCTATTTTGCGTTACTGTCGATCTTCAATTCCATGGAATTCTGTGGTCCATAATGGACTTCATTTCCCGGTTCCAACACCAAGTTGGTTCCAAGTTTCAACACCTTGCCCAAAATCAGACCAAATCATGAAAGTTTCATTGGTCCATCAGTTCACCAATTGATTCTGAATAGCTAGTTGTTGTCAACTTGAACACAGTTGGAGAGAGTTGGAGATTGAGTTTGGAAGTCTGGACCCTCTGGCAGTCAAACATGGCAACTCCCCCCCTGTGTGTAGATGCTTTTCCTGTTTAAGATGTGTGTTTCTTGCTTTGCCATGTAGATCTACTGAAATCCCACGTGTTGAGGGTTCAATCCCCATCGGCCACAGGCTCGTCCATTCACGACATTCCATTGAGTGGCCAGTGTTTGATGACAAGAAAAGTCCCAGAAACCATGGAATTCTTGAGGTGCCCGATAATTTGTTCTACGAACCAATAGTCATATCCCATATCAAATGGCTGGTTGGTGGTGACTGGAACATGGCTTTTATTTTTCCATATACTGTATTCGGAATAATCATCCCAACTGACTTTCATATTTTTCAGAGGGGTTCAAACCACCAATCAGATGGTGATGTAATGGGAACAAAGCAACCTCCTGAGTATCACTAAGGAGACCTGATGAAGCACCTCCGCACTCGCTTGGAGAGCCCCTGCCTGTTTGTTTTAACGCTTTTTTGTTCAACCTTAGCTGGATGCAATATCGTTTATCAATGATGTTTATCATTTGTTTGTTTTTGTATGTTGTTTTAATGTGTTGTGTTAGTCTTCTGTAGTTTTTTTCTTAAGCCGCGAAACATGCTGGGATGAACACGGATGATCCCGCAAGGTAGTGAACAAAAGGGGGGCATCTAAATCCCTGTCAAAGACATGTTTTTTGTTGGTAAACTTGATATTGGGATGAACTATACATGCAAAGTTCAGACATGTACCTGCCGATGCCAGCAGGACTGTTTTGAGCGACCCCATAAGAGCGGGGCGTGATGGTTGAGTGTTGGGTGTGTTTGTAATTAGCATGGTGGATATGTGATTACGGAGACAATCACAGTAGGCTTGGTATCGCACATCCCCAGAAGCATCGGATGTTTTGCACTCTTGTAGTCAATCACTGTCTGAAATAAGTGAAGGAAGTGAAATGAAGTGAACGGCTATCTTTAAATGATATTTCAGGTTGAACACCGGACATTTTCAGTTCTGAGCTTGTTTTTGTTGGTGCAGCAATCTATGTATTCAGAGTTTGTCGAACATGCATGTCTGGTTGGTGGTTTGGAACATTTTTCCCCATATATTGGGAATGTCATCATCCCAACTGACTTTCATATTTTTCAGAGGGGTAGGTCAACCACCAACCAGATGTGTATTATAATGGGTATACTGAAATTGAACTCCTGGACAGCCGTGCTTCCACATCACCCCGTGCGCCAGCCCTCGAGCCGCTCAGGAAAGGAACCAAGGGGCTCGGATGGGTGTGCCCAGGTGAGTTGGCTGTGGACTCTTGGCGAAGCCATCATCCAATACCCGGCCTGGTAAACGTTTACATGACGAACTGGAAAGATTCACCATGTTTAATGGGAAAATCCACCATGATTGATAGGTAAATCAACTATACCCTCTGGTAGCTAAACAATCATATGGTAAATCATCGTTTTTTAATATGTAAATCAATTATTTCTATGGCAATTTTTAATAGCAAACTGTTAGTTTACCAGGCCGGGTAGATGTGGTTAGGTTTCCATAGTCATGGACCCCCAAGCTCGCTGGATGATTTCCATGGGAAAATCCCATTCATTTTCACATAGTGATGAGATGGAAAATCCCATAGTGATGAGATGGCAAAGTAGTTCATTCACCTTCATATCTTAAGTTCAGCCCTATTCAACTCACAGATATACCTGTTCCATAAAAACTGGCGAATACGTATCCCTATGTATGGTTCTGGTGTTGGAAACACGTGAAGCAACTGGTAACGTGCAGGGTGAATCCCAGATCATCCCAAAGCCCAAGGATGGAAGTTCCATGTATCACAAAAGCAACCACGAAAATTTATCCTCGGCCTTCAGATGAGAGGTTTGGATCAGGGGGTCTGAACGTGTCTGAACTTTGAACTCATGAAGATTCCATGCCCCTATAGCTTGTTTTTGAATCGGAAAGGTTTGATGTCGGTGGACCAAACAATAATGGTTACAGTAGTCAAAACTCAAGTTGGTTTGTGTACTTACTGTCAGGCAAAAGGGATATGCACAAAATGAAACTAAATGGTATTGGCTGATGGCCGGAGAACCCAAGAGCTCCATGATGGTATGTTTCCATCCTTCTTTGTCTTTGAAATGATGATAGATTGTTCAAGCTTTCTGAATCGACACCCTTTTCCCAGGGATTTTCCAAATCCAATGATTTCCCCAAAATATCTGTATCCCTCTGCGGATACCAACTGGTTGGTGGTGACTGGAACATGGCTGGATTATGACTTTCCATGGATTATAGTGGTTTAATGGATTTTAATGGATGTTTCCATAATATATTGGGAATGTCATCATCCCAACTGAATTTCATATTTTTCAGAGGGGTAGGTCAACCACCAACCAGCCAAAAATAAATATCTATCTATTCTATCACCAGGTTCTTGAGCAATGATAGACATCGATCCCGGAACCTTTGCTTCGAAATCGTTTCAAAAAAACAACACATTCCAAATCCCACCGGAACGGCTCTCGGTGTTAAGCACCATGGTTTCCCTATCGATTTCTCCAGATTTTCTCAACAAAAAATCACCAAGGAGTTGTTGGAGTGGCTGCCCTCCAGTCGTCGTCTCACCGGTCGTCCTCTCGACCTACGGCTGCTGCGCGCCATGCTGCTGCAGCTGCCGCGGCAACTGCGCAGCGGCCCGGAGACGCGACAACGACTGTGCCTTGGGTTTATGGTGGGCTGGTGCAGCATGGTGCAGCAGCAAAAATGAATTACAATAGGATCCTTAATGGATATTTAATGGATCTTTAGTATTGCTAGACTGCTAGATATTTCAATGGATATTCGATATTTAGTAGAGAATTTCAATGGATATCGAATATAGATATTGAATAAAGAATGGTTAAAGCCATGTTGATATGTCATGTTGATGGGATGGAACCTATTTAAATGGTGATACAACAGAATACAATATGTAGGATAGTTAATTCATGACTTAACTAGCAGAACATTGGGTTGCAAGGAGACTGTAGTGGGATATAGTGGGATGTCTCAGTGTAGACGGACTGGTGAAGAGTTCAAGAGTTCAATCAAAAAGGGAGGAGGCGAGAAGGAGGAGGCACTGACACACAATCTAAAGACAGTCACCTGACAGGTGGTGAAAACGGACTGGAAGGAACTCTCCGAGCAAAATTGGATCATCTACGAATTCGATGGATGTAGCCAGGAAACTTCCCTATCCAAAAAACCTCTGTGAATTTGCCATATTTCCTCAAGAAATGATCCATATTCATAGAATTTCCATCAAAGTCACCAGATTTTCCCCTACATCTTGACATCTTCCTACCTTTTTCTGTTGGTTCAGACCCCTTCCAGGTTGAGCGCCCTCACCACGGACCCGGAGCTCTGGTCCAAGGCGCGCAGTGAGCTGCTGCCGGACGAGAAGTTCCACCGTGCGCTGGGGAAGATCTGCCAGGCGCTGAAGTGGTCGAATACGCTGCGCTGTGATTAATCAAAACTAGGGATTTTCAACCTATGGGAGCTTTCAATAGTTTTGGGACTTTGGGGAGTTTCAACCTATGGTTGATAGTTGATCTATGTTGATCTAATATCCCCATTGATAGTTGATTTACTTATTGAATTAGTGAAGGCTAGTAGGATTTATGGGATCTGAAATGATTTGAAGGTCACAGACTTTCTGAGAACTATATGGGAGTTATGGGATTTATGAAACATGGTTTTATTTGAGAACCTTGGGTCAACCTTAGTCTTTTCTGGTGTGGCCGTATTTCGACCGTCCAAAGATTGGGGGGTTCAAGTCATTCAAGGAGTGATGGACGTTGAAATTATACGTGTTTTGTAAAGGTGAATTAAGCAACACAATATTGGGTTGAAAATAGTTGATGGGCATTTGGAAATTCCAAGGAAGCTATAGAAGTTATGTGTAATATATATATATGGGTGCAAGTCAAAATAGGAGGTCCAGAACAAGCTCCGGGACCACACCCGTTCCATACCCCCGTTCCATACCCCCGTTCCATACCTCCTTGAAGGATCCGTTCCATACCTCTGTTCCATACCTCTGATTCATACGTTATGATATATATATATATATATGTATGTATTTATATATATATATATGTATATATATCTCTCTCTCTATCTGAATATGTGCAGTCTGGTTTTACATTTGTACGTCGTACTTGAGCGCACATACATACATGTGTTACATGAGTGTTTACATGCAAGAATACGTTTACTATGCCCAAGCCCTGTGATTGTGTTGGCAAGTCTGTGCCTGCGGCGTTTGTCGTGTGATGGTAGGGATGTGCTTGGCTGTTGTCAGCTGGCAGTCTAAGAATGGATTGCTTGTAACCCTCCCTCCCTCTCAACCTGTGGCAGGTTTGCGCCTGCACCACTTACAGTTGCTGCCGGCTGTGGCACAGCTGTGATGTTTGATGGTAGAGATGCGCTTGGCTGCTGTCAGCTGGCAGTCTAAGAATTGCTTGCTGCGCTACTCTCGCTCCAAACTGCCAATTTTGATAAAGATGTGCTGCATGGTGGCAGAGCTGTGCTGGAGTGGGCCCCGTTTCGTTCCAGACCCCGTTCCATACCGTTCCATACCCGTTCCAGGCCCGGACCACCCATGTATCATCCCTGACCCACTTCCGGGTGAACAAATGGCAGGTTCTCACATAGACTGCTCCTAAGCCATCCTTAGAGTCTTGCCACGCGGGGACACAATCTACCCCATAGGGACCGGGACCGGGACCTCTGAGTTTTAAGAGTAGGAGGTGGGACCTGCGTGACAGGTCTGAAGCTTAGCGGACAGCTTCACATAGTAGCCAGTGGGTGAGGCTGGCTACCGGTTATGTCATGTCCTATCTAGTGCATGAGCACTAGCCATGCAAGGCAAACCTGCGTTGAACAGGTGTACAACAAGGATGCCGCGCAGATGAGAAGTGAAAATGAGCGGCAGCCAGCGGTAGTAGCTTCAACGTGCATATCCTTGAGATGTATATTATTTACATATATTATACATATATACAGTATACATATATAGATATTTATATTTATATGTATGTACAGCCTATATTTCATCGCATTCCAAATGTCCGGAACAAGACCAGTTACGAAACCCCTTCGTTCCATACGTCCGGAACAGCGCGGAACGTTCCATACACAATTTTGACTCATAGCCATATATATATTATGTAGATATGTATTGGCTGAATTCATGTCTAAATTCTGTGGAATCAAGCAGCAGAACATGGGGAAGATCACCGAGTTTTTAATGACATGTATCTGGAATTGAAACCAATGCTTCACAGCTAACAATTGATGAGTTGTGAATCCATTTGTTGAGAATTCCACTAGTTGGAAGTAGATGAACTTTTTGTCTTGGTTCTCCTACTACAAATGGAAATTGTGATTTCCTACTGCCCGGTTGGGAAATATTAGCACCTTCAACATGTAGATGCCACATGAGATTCATTGATGTCTGGTGTGGATGACATCAGTGGTTAAAGACTAAATAACACCAGCAATACACATCAAACAAAGCACACTCAAGACTTGGCAGCAGGTTTGGATTGCAAAAGGCAGCAGATTCTGATCAGATCTGTTTGTTATTGGAGCAGACTGTTGCTTTCCAAAATGGTGAAAATTCGCATCATCCCCTTGGGACGTTTTTGCACGGCTCACAGATTGGTTTTTGGGGCGTTGGATTTCGATCTTTTGATCCACCACCGGTTCACAGAAATAAAGCTATGACTGGTTCACAGAAATAAAGCTATGACTGGTTGGTGGTGACTGGAACGTGGCTGGATTATGACTTTCCATCTACTGGGAAGAATAACCCCACCTGACGAACTCATATGTTTCAGAGGGGTAGGTATACCACCAACCAGACTATGATTATCAGCATACTTAGGTATAGAGGATTTTGTTTCATGAGTGGCCAAGAAAAAAACATCATTTCATTGTGTCCCTTTCATGCCCTCTTCAACCGATACATCCTGCAAGTTGTACGGCTTTCTGGAAAAAACACAACAAAACCCAATAACCTCAATTGTCATTCACATTGCTAGATTGTTTTTTATATCATTTTTATGTCCCACCAAGTATCCTCATCAAATCCCAATAATTAGTGAATTAACCCGTTACGTAACACCAATTCATGATGGATATATATATAAATATACATATACGGTATATCATCCTTATGAACTCCCAATTACATTGGTTAATCCATCTATGATCCTCGTCATCCCGATAGATGGACCTATGGACCTCGATCCTCTTGACATAACAATGGACATTTGATTATGACTGTTGATACAGTGACAGTATACATATATAGATATGACAACAATCTACAATATTGTATATTATATGGTATATTTATCTATTAACAATAATCTGTAATATCATATAATATCTATTAATGACCAACATATGGCAATTCACTCACCCAAAGATAATAATAATATTTACCACTCATTCATTGGCTAGCCATTCATGCTACAGTACATATGGACGTTAATATGGTAGCCGTTATGATCCCACTGGAGTCAATGTTTAGTGGATTATCCCCATTACAATCGGATTAGATATCCCAAAAAAAGACTTGGCTTTATATGGTGTAACCAATTGATTAATCGATTAATCATGATTAATCGTTATTCCCGTGGTTCCCCCTATTAAATCCAATCACTTTGTTGATCCGTCTATGTGATCCCACTATAGTCCCATTGCTATCCCGTGTAGAAACTGGGGATTGTAATATTCATGTTGTACCATGCCATCATTTATTGAATATTCATGAGTATTGTAATATTGTAATTTTCAATTCCCATTATGAGTATTAAATTCAATTCCCATGAATATATGAGTATTGAATATTCATGAGTATTTTTAGTCCTTCCCATTATCCAATGCCATCGACAGGACCTCCAATCCGACGATGGCTGGCGCGACGCGGTGGAGCTGGTCTTCTCCTGTGCACAGCTGGGCGTCGAAGCTGGGCGGAGAACGGAGCGGAGGGTGACCGGTGGGGATCCACCGAAACATGGAAAAAACGATGAAAAACGTGGAACATAGCCATTTCAAAAGGAACAACAAGGGAAACATGATGAAACATGATGAAAGATGATGATGCCTTTTTTCTCTGTTGGCATCAAGAGTCTCCCATTTCGAGACAAAGCCAGATCGAAAAGGCAGAAAGGAGATGAAACATGCCAAAAAACACCTCTGCAAAGAATCAACGTGGAGGAAGTGAACTGCTTCCTTCAAATTTGGCGGCTTACAAAGCCTACCATGTACATCCATGTACATCAGCTCAAGGTTGCATTGCAGGTCCATTGAACAGGCGGGTTTGTGTTGCAGCAACATCAAGTGAGTCCATTGAACGGGTTTAAATGCTGGAGGCACAGTGACCCCTTTTATTGGGCAAAAACGTGTTTGATCTCGGTTAGATAAGTGATGATCACCTGGCCATACTGGTTCACTTTGTTTTTTTTGTTTTATTGCCTAAATTGTCCAATTGAGTATATCAAGCACAATCAATCCGCTTTCCAAAGGTGTTTGTGTCCTTCTTATAGTCCAAGACAATCCTTAAGTTTCTCACTTACATCCAGTGTGAGTTTTCCCTATGTTGGTTAATTTCATATCCTTAATCATCTTTAACAGTGACATGATGCGCATTTTTAACAACCTATGTAGATTTGACATATAACCGACAATTGTCCTAGAATTCACAACCCCCAATTGATAGGTAACTTGGTTTATAGTTTTGTTTACTTTGGTTTCTGGCAGATTTATCAGTTAGACCGCTGAACCAAACCAACTATATCCATGTGTAGCATATCTTCATTTCTCAGTGTGTGTTAGATTCCCACATCATTTCCCTTTTTTTTCCGCACGGTCCAGTCCAACCGTCAGCTGCTCAGTCAGGACAGCCGTGAGCTGCAGAAGCTGCTCCAGCAGCTTCTGCAGGAGCCGCTGCAGCTGGCGCAAAGTGCCAAGGTCTGCTGGGCCTGTGCAGAGCTAGGTGCCTTGGCTTGCCGTCCTGGAGTGGCTGAACAGTGGGATAGAAAGCATGGTTTTTTTTGGGATTACAATGGGATTTTTATGGGAAAATGATAGGAAAATATAGGAACATGTAGGAAGATCCACAATCAATTCGGAGGTTTTTCTGCTGGGGAAATCGGAAAATCCAAGTGTCCTGGATATGCTGAATTTTTGGGCATTTTTGGGAATAATCCCATGACGGATCCATGGTGCTGGTATATATGCTAACATAAAGGGGGTATATTGATGGGATCCATGTTACCATATATAGCAGCACCATGGATCCTATGGGAATGTAAAAAACATAGAATTTGATGGCCATTTGGGCAATTTGACCTATGGATAATGGATGTGAATGCGTTATTTGCTAATTTGACCTTGAAATTTCCCAGTTACACGTCATTGCTAAGATCCCCCCGCTTGAAGACGTCGACTGCTGACCAGTGACCGAAGATTGGCCGACCAAACCACGAAGGACGGACGATGATTTAATATGGTTTCTATATGTCCATAGTATGATATAGTATGTTTATAGTAATTGTGGTTTATGCGAAATCATATTCCAAATGTTTTGTTTCCCGGTTTGTGATGGAAAGTTCATGATTCATGAACAGCCTCTGGGCCAACTTCAGGATCATCATCCATGGTTGGGCCATAGATTGAGCATGATTGAGCCATAGGCAAGTCAGTGATGAGGAGGTATCAAAACACCAGAGGTTTCTCGGTCGTTTTTTTTTTTCGGTAGTTCAAGATGTACAAACTACTAGCGTTTTTGTTTGGTAATGTTGGGCCTCCTGAGATAGTTTGTAAACCAACTATAGACATATCAAGAGATGTCACGACATATCACGACATATATGTATATATAATTATACCGCAAATAGACTATGACCAGTTATAAAACAGCTATAAATAAACATATATAAACATATATAATCTATCATATATCTATAGTTTATACTTGAGCCAGCTATAAACCAACTTCGCCCAGGCGCAAGGTGCCCGAAAATTGGTGCCACCAAGGTGTCCTATCGAAGGAAGCAGAGAAGCTTCTCCAGGTGGCCGATGGAGAAGCTCGTTTGCTGAAGATCATTTTCACCAAGAAAAGTAGGATATAGTGGTGATATCATGGGGATACAATGGGGAAATATATATATATATAATGTATAAATTTCATCATCATATATATATATATATATTTATTTAATGGATATGTATCTATATATTATATACACATATAGTTGAATAATCTATACATACAATGACCTCGCTGTGACGCCACTGGAGAGATCGGAATCCACATGTCTGGTATGTATATAGTGATAACAGTTATTTCAGGTTAGTGAATTATCATAATTAATTCAGCCAGATAAAATAGGTGAATCATACTATTTCGTGAGGGATCATGAGGATTCGTGTCAGCTATTTAAAGTGGACTATTCATCCAAGCCAAAAAGATAGGACTCTTCAGTGAAACGTAAAGATACATAAAGTATTTCAATAAATTCTGTGAATCAATGGGGTAATTTTTGCTGAGAAAGATGATTGTCGATTTTTATTTAGCGTGTTTTCCACGCTTGACTCTGGGTGACTTGACTAATTCCCTGTATCAGTCATTTATCTTTCTGCAGTGGTTGGTTATGTCCCCGGTTGTCAAATTCAACATGTGTTTAAAATATATATAATGCACATTCAAAAAATAATCAGGGATGCCACATGATTCTTGGTAACCGTTCAACAATTGCATGAATTCGCATGGTTCCATGTGGTTTTATGTTGTTCCCATTTCATGTGCTCAGTGTTCTCCAATCAAGTTCTCCAACTCTCCAATCTGATCTTTTTTTTCTCCAACCACCCAAGTATTTCTGAGTGAAAACATGAATAGAACTGAAACCCCTCGATGCAGGTATCTTAAAATTAGTTGCACTCAACTTGCAGCCTGAAACATCCTGAAACCCCGTGTTTGGTTGAACTACCTGAACAGGTATCAATATTTGTTTTTTCCCCATAAATCCACCATAAATCCACCATAAATCCACCATAAATCCACCATAAATCCCTACCCAGGACACCCAGGACGCGCTGAGTTGGCTGCGCCTCTCCTGGGCCTCCTTGGTCCTTCAGCGACCTCTGCCGCTCGAGCGAGTGACAGATCTGCCGGGGGAAGTGCTGATGCAGCAGATGTCCCTGGGGCTGCAGTGGCAATGGAAATTGCTGACAGCTGGATGGCCAGATATCTTGGGAAAGGACCCAAGAGTTCCATTGGAGCATGAAGTCAGCCGGCATTGCTTTTTTGAAATGGGATTGGGATTTCTTTAGGTGTTGCATTTTTGGGTGATATTAAAAAACTTATGGGATTCATGTGGAGCTGGCTCGGGTTGTCATTGTAAGGAAGGACTGACATGGCTCTGACAGGGTCGTTTTCCTTTTTTCTCCGATGGGAAAAGGATACCTACAGACACTAGTTTTTCGTGATAGTCCTGCAGCAGTGCGACCGTAAAATGTTGGTGAATCCCCCATTTCTTGGCAGGGAGTGCATCATGGCGCATGGTGCAGGGGGTGCCCCAGATATTTACCAAGAACAAGTGGCATTTAGAGAACGCAACATGGATTTTGAAGGAATAAAACTCTGGATGGTGGGTTCAACATTAGTTGAATGTTCACCATTTTTTGGGGGGGATGAGTTGCCTGAGCAGTGCTTCATATGTGGCTCTTAGGTCTCCCTCCGATTTGCGACCTTTGCAACAACTTGCTTGGCACAGCAGCTTGTTGGCGCCAAGGATATGTACAATGGTTTGATGACCATACTGACGATGGCCATTCTGCTGGTGTAGAGCTAATCGTACACAACACTTTGAGATGGTTTTGGTAGTCACACAATTGTTCTATCCTCACGTTTCATGGTGATAATCTCAGTACTGACCAAACATCTCCCCATGATACCTTCGCCAACTCCATGGCCTGCATCTGAAGCGGCTTTTGGGATGTTCAAGCCTTAACTTTCGGTTCTTCTAGGTTTTTAAGCCCATAATTTATAAACAAGTATACATATATATATATACATATATATATATATATATACATATATATATATATATATACATATATATATACATATATATATATACATATATATATATATATACATTTATATATATATATATATATATTACATGCAGACATATACAGATCACACAATGTGGATGTTTCATAGATGAAAACAAACACTGATTGACCACGCACGTAAAGTTGTGGATTTAACTAGGAAACACGAGGGAAGACGGTGATTTTAAATGGTTAACATGTTGATTTACTGTAATATTATGTGTATCTTAGATGTGGTTATGTCAATCTTATTTTCTTGGGGTCAAGGAATAATCAATTGGGATTTCAGGACCCTCAAATAGAGGTACCGTACCATATGAAAACAGAGAAGTTGGGGGCATATCCCCTTATATAGCCCCAAACTTTAGGCCTTATATATGGTATAGGTACCTTCAATAAATCGGCACCTGAAATGGTTATAGTTATGGGTCAAAACCGTGCTAAGTCATAGCTGGTTAATGGCTGGTTATTCCCTCAGTCACATGGTAAATTCATAGGTTTTCACCCATCCCCCAAATGGAGGTTTCCGAACATGGGGGTATACCCCTAAATCCTCCATTGATAGATGGATTTTGCACGATAAACAATTTATATGGTTTAAGGTTTAATGCTATAAATCATCCATAGGTGAGGCTATAAACAATTCATACACCAAATAGACCAGTATAAACCATACGCCAGTTATAAATCATCCATATAAACTAGTATAAACCATACACCATATAAGGCTATAAATCATCCATACGCCAGTTATTGGGGATCCCCATTTCTGGCCACATCTGTAGGTCAGCAGCACCTGGGCCTCTCCAGCACCTGGTCCGATGCCATGCTGGGCGCAGGGCCGCTGGTGCCCCGCACAGCGAAGACCGCGGGATCTGCGGGCGGTTCGATGCCGAGCCAGACGGACGCGTGGCTGCGAGGGTCCAACTTGGAGCTTCCACTGGGAGAAAGCTGAGTAGATTGTAGTGACCTATAGAATCTCATGGTGAATTTATTTCGGAATCATTTCTAGCCGTAAGCTTCAGGTGATAGTCTTATGATTTACCCATATAAATTACATAAGGTTATGGTATATGATTGGGATATATAGTTGAGGATATGATGGGAAAACAAACGCACACACTTCAGATGTTGCCCTTTGGTTTTATCAAGCGTGGCTTGCTGGAAAATCCGCGAACTGAATGGAGGTCAGTACGGCCGCAGCTCTGTGGCTCTTGGGTCACAGCTGGTGAAGTGCCATAAGTGGAACGCCCAAAGAGGCGACCTGTGGCTATGTCTGGCTATGTGCCACAAGCTGGTGGATCTCAACAGATTCAACTTGACGTAAGATGCCTGAATGGTGAAGGTTGCATCCTGACCCTCGATCATTCCACCCTGGGCCGCGAAGTGCACCGCCTGGTTTCCAAGAAGCTGCCGTCCAAGAGAGGGTCAAGACTTGTGCTCCACCACCTTGCTTCACCACTGCTCCTTCACCAAACATTGCGAGAACAGAACATTGCAGGAAAGGCTGCGACATTGAGCTGCACTTATGTTCCAACGAGTTTGTGTGCTGCATGGAGCTATGCCAAAGGATTCCTAATCTCCGAGGAAGAGTTTGCACTCGAAGGGGTGACGCAGATAGTAGGCAACATTACAATTGAAAGCTTGTACCGCCTCCCCGAAAGCCTTGAAATTTTGACTTTTGGCAATCAATTCAACCAAAGCTTGGACCAAGTGACTTTTCCAAGCAGTCTACAAAGTTTGACATTTGGGGATGACTTCAACCAAGTTTTGGACCAAGTGACGTTTCCTAGCAGCCTGCAAAGTTTGACGTTTGGGCGTCACTTCAACCAAGTTTTGGACCGAGTGACATTTCCAAGCAGCCTGCAGAGTTTGACGTTTGGGGATGCCTTCAACCAAGTTTTGGACCAAGTGACGTTTCCTAGCAGCCTGCAAAGTTTGACGTTTGGGCGTCACTTCAACCAAGTTTTGGACCAAGTGACGTTTCCAAGCAGCCTGCAGAGTTTGACGTTTGGGCGTCACTTCAACCAAGTTTTGGACCGAGTGACGTTTCCAAGCAGCCTGCAAAGTTTGACGTTTGGGCGTCACTTCAACCAAGTTTTGGACCAAGTGACGTTTCCAAACAGCCTGCAGAGTTTGACGTTTGGGGATGCCTTCAACCAAGTTTTGGACCAAGTGACGTTTCCAAGCAGCCTGCAAAGTTTGACGTTTGGGCGTCACTTCAACCAAGTTTTGGACCAAGTGACGTTTCCAAACAGCCTGCAGAGTTTGACGTTTGGGGATGCCTTCAACCAAGTTTTGGACCAAGTGACGTTTCCAAGCAGCCTGCAGAGTTTGACGTTTGGGGATGCCTTCAACCAAGTTTTGGACCAAGTGACGTTTCCAAGCAGCCTGAAAAGCTTGACCTTTGGCGTTAGATTCAACCAAAGCTTGGACCGAGTGACATTTCCAAGCAGCCTGCAGAGTTTGACGTTTGGGGATGCCTTCAGGCAAGTTTTGGACCAAGTGACGTTTCCAAGCAGCCTGCAGAGTTTGACGTTTGGGGAGGCCTTCAACCAAGTTTTGGACCAAGTGACGTTTCCAAGCAGCCTGAAAAGCTTGACCTTTGGCGTTAGATTCAACCAAAGCTTGGACCGAGTGACATTTCCAAGCAGCCTGCAGAGTTTGACGTTTGGGGATGCCTTCAACCAAGTTTTGGACCAAGTGACGTTTCCTAGCAGCCTGAAAAGCTTGACGTTTGGGCGTCGCTTCAACCAAGTTTTGGACCAAGTGACGTTTCCAAGCAGCCTGCAGAGTTTGACGTTTGGGGATGCCTTCAACCAAGTTTTGGACCAAGTGACGTTTCCAAGCAGCCTGCAGAGTTTGACGTTTGGGATGCCTTCAACCAAGTTTTGGACCAAGTGACTTCAACCAAGTTTTGGACCAAGTGACGTTTCCAAGCAGCCTGCAGAGTTTGACGTTTGGGGATGCCTTCAACCAAGTTTTGGACCAAGTGAAGTTTCCAAGCAGCCTGAAAAGCTTGACGTTTGGGCGTCGCTTCAACCAAGTTTTGGACCAAGTGACGCTTCCAAGCAGCCTGCAGAGTTTGACGTTTGGGCGTCACTTCAACCAATTCAACCAAAGTTTGACTTGGACCAAGTGACATTTCCAAGCAGCCTGCACCGAGACATTTGACAGAGTTTGACGTTTGGGGATGCCTTCAACCAAGTTTTGGACCAAGTGACGTTTCCAAGCAGCCTGAAAAGCTTGACGTTTGGGCGTCGCTTCAACCAAGTTTTGGACCAAGTGACGCTTCCAAGCAGCCTGCAGAGTTTGACGTTTGGGCGTCGCTTCAACCAAGTTTTGGACCAAGTGACGCTTCCAAGCAGCCTGCAGAGTTTGACGTTTGGGCGTCACTTCAACCAAGTTTTGGACCAAGTGACGTTTCCAAGCAGCCTGCAGAGTTTGACGTTTGGGGATGACTTCAACCAAGTTTTGGACCGTTTGACATCACTATGTTCTCTTCGCAATGTTTCTGATGGACGGTTGTTCTTGAGCATTGACATTGATTGATGTGCTTGGCAGGTCTGAATACAGTTGCTATTGATCAGCCCTGATGGACCGCCATTTACAGTTGACTTTCGGACGACCATTTCAGCCCCAGATGATCTTCATCAATGAGAATCCTTGCCATTTCGTTTCTTGACCTTGCCATTGAACAAAATATGCCAAAGAGCAGGTAGATGTTGGTATCGTGTTCGCAAATGGCTTATGTACAAACCGTTCACCCTACTGCTACTGACGCCCCTTCCCCGGCCTCCAATAATAAAGACTTGGAGTAGTTTTTATTTTATATAGGGGGGTATTTGGTATTAGGGTGAGAAGCTTTCCCCGAATAACCAAATCAACATAATCATAAAAAGAAATGACAAATGGATTTCAAAATCAATCAAATTCCTTTTTAACATCCATTGTATTTCCAAAATTTGGATTTAGACGTTTTCCTTTCACATCTAAGGCCTGAATAAAAAGAACTGCTATGTATCGATTTCAAAATGCGGATCCTGATTTTTTAAAAAATCATTAATTAGTTTCCCATTATAAAGGGTGCAACATCACTTATTTTTTGTATTCTGGCCCCCCTACTACTGTTTAATTGCCACAATTGAAAAACATAATTGGCAACATCAACAAATATTAAAGAATGGAGCCTAGGTTTTAAGTATTTGGTGGACGTTTAGTGATAGTGGCAAAGGATTATATATCTTCTCCGATGAGGGTTTTGGCTCCTACAGGGACGATCAACGGATTCGATGATAGTGATTGGGTTCGCTGTGGATCAGACTTGTGGTACCAAATAGAAAGGTTTTTTGTCTCAAAAAACCAACCAAAATCTGTGGGGTTCCATGGTCTGGATTTGTTTTACTCTTGCCAGTGTCTTTTGATCTCTTTTCATTCTCCGAATTTTCTTGAGGTTTTTGGCGAACGTCCCAGTTGTAAGTAGGGCCTTGTTGGGGCTGTTTTGGAGCAGATTCTCTTCGAAGAGCCTGAAGAGCCTTTGGGACGATGCATGATTTCCTAAAATGGAGGTACCCCAATAGCTGGATGGTTTACAAATGTTTATGATGCAAAATCCTATTGGAGCGAATGATTTGGGGGTACCCCCATTTTAAGAAGCTCCATTTTTTATAGCACGGATTTGTTTGACACTGTCCCTCCATTGACAATCCCTCCATGTACTGTCTAAAAAGGTAGCCTCTCCGCCCTCCACAACTTTCTATTTGTACTGGTTAAACATCAAAAACCCGTAGTCAAAAATCACGGAAGAAAACGTGTTGGATTGGAAAAACATGACTCAGACATCCTTAAAACAGTGGTATTGTGGATTAGGCATCACATTGTTTGTTGCTAAAATACATAATTAAACCGTATTGGACTATGCCACCACCATCCCATTGGTTACATATCCCATATTATCCTATTATATTAGATTAAGATCCCATTAAATTTCTATTACGTAATTAACATACCTTTTGCCCTTGCATTCATTTAATCCCATTGACTTTCCATTAAGTCACCAACATCCCGTCATTTGACGGACCCCACTAAAATCCCATGAAATCTCCATAGCTTCCTCTCCATCCCATCCCTTCATTCAATGGGAATTCAGGACCCTAAAATGGAGGTACTGTACCATATAAGGCCAGATTTGGGTGGCCTATCCTCTTACATAGCCCTTACATAGGTCTTACATATCATACGTATCTCCAATTTAGGTATCTGAAATGGCCATTGATTCTTTGGGTGTGTTATTCCCAACAGGGCGAATAATCCTCATCCCATCTATGATATCAATGGTTTATCCTGGATATAATACCCAATGGTATGTGGGATTTTGCCAAATGGCATATCACATTTTCAGGAATATTGTAGTAATTAAATCCCTTCCCTTAATCATTACTGATAGAACCGAATCATCTCATACAAATCGGTTTTTTCATCTTCACTGTAGCAATCTGTTGAGTATTCATCATCCCATCCCTCGAAAACTGGTTGGTTTTTTGGAACATGGCTTTTATGACTTTCCATATATTGGGAAGAATAATCCCAACTGACGAACTCCATGATTTTTGAGAGAGGTAGGTCAACCACCAACCAACAAAAACTACGCCGTGTTTGTCCGAATCATCCCCCTGCGTCCCATTGATGTCCATCGTTGCCGTAAGGACGCCGAGAAGCTGCTGTCGAGCCTGCTGCAGAACCTGCGGGTGCCGCACGTCGTGGCTAGTTCCAAGGCGGTGCCCGGGAGCCTTGGAGGGGAGCGGGTGCGGAACTGGCAGTGCTCCAAGGTGGGGCTGAAAAAACTGGGGATTTGGTCTAGGGGAAACTCACGTAGCTGTGGAAAAGCCATAGGTTTTTCCAAGGAAAAAGAAAGGGGGGTCCGAGGTCCACGGAAAATCATATGGGATTTCGCGTTGGGGGTTTGCTAGAGAAACCCAAATCATCCAGTCGTGACCATGACTCAGTCTTTTCACCATGGTGTGGTGATCCCCATGACAGAAGAAAGCCCATATCCAGCCAACAATATCAAACTAGTTGGATGGGGGTAACCAAGAAACATATCTGAAAGGCGGCACCACCTTTTACCATGGGAAGTGGATAGGGAACAACAGCACAAAACATCATGGAAATTCTATATATAGCAAGAAAAGATGTCGGATAAAAAGATGATAAAGAGTGATGATATGCATAGCCAATGAGAATCATTAGGTGCATGTTCATGGGACGCAACAACAAGTGAAGATGTTTGCCAATCAATTTTATGCGGATATGGCGGATATGTAGAAGGGGACATAATTGGATGTAACAGGAATTAACTGGACTCAATAGGATTATACCAAGCAACTTAATAGCAACCCAGTGAAACTTGAGGAGTCAATATGCATAGGGGACTGGGTTAAGAAAATCCAACATATCAACATGTGGTGTTCCCAGATCTGGCTGGTTAGATGCTTTCCCCAAGTGACACTGCCCTTCGATCCCTCTCAGCCAACACTTATCAGGACCCCTGATGTTCGGCGCTGAGGAATATCTATCGAGTGCCTTTGTGGTTTCCAGCTGCCAACGCCGTGTTGGATCTGTCAACCAGCAGTGATCGGTTGATCTCCGGGAGTCTTGGTGCTTTGGGTCGAGCTGTGGCGGCGCTGGCCAGTTTTTTTCCACCCCCAGGGGAAGCATGCCTGGCAGTGGAAAACCACCTTGAAAATCAGCATATGGGTGAGTTTATCTTGCTATTTTTTATTAATTGCTGGAAGGTACAAGTGGGTTACTAGAGGGTATGGGTGGGTCATGGGTGGTCACGGCCTTTGCCCATCATTTGCTCACGGCCTCAGGGTTCATCCTTTGTGCATTGGTTTTGTTTGAGTGTCCCCAAACTTGGCACTGGCATGATGTTTGACTATCCCTTCCGTTTTCGAGGATTGTAGCCTTATTACATGTAGGCTGGTTGGTGGTTTTAAACATTTTTTATGTTCCATTTAACATATATGGCATAATCCTTCCCATTGACGAACTCATATTTTCAGAGGGGTACGTATACCACCAACCAGTGGGCGTTTGTTTGGATTTTGGCTAGGTGCCGGGGCTATCCACCAGGTGTGTAGACACAAATGACTGGTGAATCCAGCATAGAATACGAAAACAAGAAGCGTCCACCGAATTGTAAATTGGTCTACAAACATCTAGAAACCAACCAACTCTATAAGAATGATATACACATTCATGCATTTCTGGTTGGTGGTTTCAAACATCTTTTATTTTCCATTTCATATATGGGATGATTCTTCCCATTGACGAACTCCATCATTTTTCAAGATGGTGTGTTTGCACCACCAAGCAGATTAAGCCAAGATTGTTTGCTCAATGAGTTCAACCAACTTCCCTAGCCACAACTAACGGACGCTTTGTTTGGTGACCCAGGAAGTACAGCGGGACGGCACGGATGAGGCGCCGACAGCTCCCAGTCATTGGTTATGGATTGTGGTCACGAATGAAGTGGGTAAAACAATGTCATAAACCACCCATTTGGGAATGGTTTGTACCATGTTTGTACCATGTTATGGTGATTTGGGGGATGATTTATTGGTTTTACCCGCGTTTTTCTTAAAGTCACCAAAGAACATGTCAATTTGATGAATGTTTTGTGGTGGGATTTAAGGGGATATGATGGAATTATTGGAACCATTAAGAATGGTATGTTTATGTAAATTAACGGGGAATTACTGGGATGTGGTATGGAGATAAGCCCAGCAATTTGATATGGGTGTGTGCGCAGATGTAATGAGGGATTTCCCAAAGTGATGGCAATGCTTATCTGAGAAACATGATGTTTGACCCGTTCTTTTTTTGGGTACCTCATTTTGAGACAAACCCAACATTGGACCATTTGGAACCAATGGACTCCCAAAAAATTGCTGATTTCACGACAATTTCTAGCTGCTTTCATGGGGTGGTGATGGGTCAAGTTCTAGCACCCGAGGTCTATCATTGTTTGGATCCCACAAAGTATCTTTATATCGAAGATATATATATATATATATATACATACATTATATACATGTTATATGGCCATATATATATATATTTATGCATGCACACATACAAACATATATGTTATATGGCCCTATAGCAAGTTTCATTTGTACATATGCCTATTATCGATAGAACGTGTATCCCCGAGGACTATCCCATTCTATCCCATCCCACCGTTTGTATCCCCATTGTATCATGAAATTGTATCCCACTATGTCCCTGAATATTATATATAAAGTAATATATTGTACTGTAATATATATATAATAGTAATAATAATGATGTATCATCTTTAGAGTGTGTATATATATATATGCACAAGAGATAATGAGCATATAGAATATAATATACCAATATGTACATCCCACTGTACTTTCTACTATAATACACAAACACACTGGTTTTGGGTAACCCCATTGTTGATGGTTAACCACCTTTCCCACAGATGTTTATGTAGCTATATATATAGTTATATTATGCACATGTATAGCCGTATCATTGTTTTATTCACATGCAATACACCCAATATTTATATATATATACAATCCCCATGATATTTAACATAGCTATTGAACATGACCATGGAAATAGTGGATTTTCCCATTGAAAATGGTGGATCTTTCCAGTTCGTGATGTAAACGTTGACCAGAGGGTATCTCCATTACGTAAATCCCATTTACTCCCAGTAAATCCACCCGTTTCATGTTGGTGAAATCCTCATCCCCGGTCACCAAGGCTTCAGGAAGCAGGTCTCCGGGTCCACGACTTCGACGTGGCACAGCTGCGGGGTGCCAGCCACGTGACGCAGCTCTGTGTGGCTTGGCCAAGCGGGCGAAGCGGGCGAAGCCACAGGATTTGCCAGGGAAAATATGGGTTGAACCATGGGTTTAACCATGGGTTTAACCATGGAATATGGGAAAAGATGGGTTTAACTATGAGGAAAATGTTGGTTTAACCATCTGAAAGTGGCGGTTTCAAACATATGGCTGGATGATTTTCCATTTCATATATGGGATAATTAATCCTTCACATTGACTTTCATATTTTTCATGATGGGTAAAACCACCAACCAGGTTGGTTTAACCATGTTGAACCATGAAATATGGTTGATTTTCTATAGATTCTTTTCGATAAGTCTAAATTCAATCATCCAAGCAGTTACCTCTTAAGCCTTGAAGACATGGACATCACACTTGTGCAGATTTCAGGCCATGGTTTTACACGACAAATTGGGGTTCCGTAAGTCATGGGGGATCCCCGAGTCACCTTGGGCTTCGATACTAAGTCACGGTCATCCATGAGCTGGATTGTTTTTTTCAGTACCCCAATGAATTAGGAAACCTCCACTTGTCAGGGACAATGAAAAAATCTACCCTCTGGTAAACGTTTACATAACTATGGAAAGATCCACCATTTTTAATGGGGAAAACACAATTTTTAATCGGTAAATCTACTATTTCTATGGCAAAATGGGAAGTTGACCATGGAATATTATGGATTATGATGGAATATGGCGATGTCATCATGGAACGGAACGTGTTTTCATGGGAAGCAAAAACGCGCACTTGGGATTTTTCTTCCAAAATATGGAGTATCACGCGTGTATAAGCAGTGAACTGGTTGGTGATTGATGGCAAGGTAGGTGTCTCGATAGTTATTTCCTTTTGCTGAATCTGGGCTGAACATACATTGTTCATAGATTTGCTTGCATCCAGTTTTCATATGTCGTTCTGATATAGGGACACATGTGATTTTGGGGGTCGTATGCATTTTTCTCGGTGCCCCACATCTTTGAAGCTGTGCGGCTACAAGATCCAATGCACGTCACCAGAATCCCTGTTGGGGGTTTTTCATCGACGGGATTAATTATACCTGGTTGGTGGTTTGGAACATTTTTCGTTTTTCCATATATTGGGAATGTCATTATCCCAACTGACTTTCATAACTAATATTTTTCAGAGGCCGGTTACTGTGTACAGCATGGCTTATCGTGTGTGGTCGTCTTGTCGAGCCAAAGAAGCCTTACGGTCGGTGTCAAAAGTGGTTCCCCATAGCGTCCAGGGGGGATTACCTATGCGTCAAGCCAAAGCCATCTGGTATGAAGTTGCTCAGGTACTAGAGGCTGCTTATCTTGAAGAGGAGCCGTTGCATGGAATCATGTTGGACTTGACCAAAGCCTTCAACATGTTGCCGCGCTTTCCACTGTGGGTTGCCTTGCGTGCCTTGAATTTCCCAGAGGGGGTCTTGCGTGCCTGGGTTGGATTTGTGTCCGGGCAAGTGCGTCGTTTCCGGGTACGTCAGTCTGTCGGTGATGGCTTGGTGTCATGTCGCGGCTTGCCTGAGGGTTGCGCTCTTTCTGTCTTTGGCATGGTCATTGTGGACTGGTTGCTTGATGAATGGTTGAAGCGGGTGCACCCAACTGTGGTCCTCCAGGCCTTTGTGGATGATTGGGGTGTCCTGTTCCGTGTCATTGAGTCTTTTCAGGGTATATGGACTGCCATTATGGAATTTACCTCCCTGATGGACTTAACTCTGGATATGCGAAAGACAAAGGTATGGAGCACCACCTCAGAGGCCAGGGGCAAGTTGAGGGACACTACCCTACAAGTTGCATATGCGGCCAGGAACTTGGGAGCACACCAAAACTTCACTAGACACTGCTGGAATAGTGTGCTCCAGGCTAGGTTGAAAACCATGCCAGACGTTTGGTCCCGTTTGCGGGCCAGTCTGAGTCCATATGTGGCCAAAGTGCGTGCTGTTGTGCAATTTGGTTGGCCACGTGCACTGCATGGCATTTCGGTGGTTCACTTGGGCCTTTCTCACTTCAAGGTCTTGAGAACAGGGGCCATGCGGGGTTTGCGGGCGGATAGAAAGGGGGCCAATCCCTTGTTGCATCTGTCAACCAATGGAATGCATGTTGACCCTGAAGGATGGACTTTCTTACAAACGGTGAGGGATGCGCGAGATATGGGCGGGTTTGAACAAATGGAGCGCTTTCTTGCACTTTTTGCTTCCAAAGACCTTGATCTTCCGAAGAATGGTCCTACGGCAGTTTTGTTGACCCGCCTTGAAAAAGTGGGCTGGTCGGTTGGTACGAATGGGCTGGTGCAAGATCGGTTTGGGAGCTTCAGTGTCTTTGGGGTGAGCTGGGACGAGTTTGTTTTGCGTGCTCGGCTTGCTTGGGGAACGGTCTTGTCGCTGCATGTTGGTCATCGCCCTTCTTTCCAGGGTATTGAACTGGCGGACCTGGGGGAGCTTCAAAAAGCCCTTAAGCAGTTTGGACCATTGGACTTGGTGTACCTTCGCTGTCATTTGGACGGTACCCTCTTTACTCAAAATGGCAGGGCTCGGTTTCGCCAAGATGTTACTGACAAGGATGGATTCTATCACAGGGCTTGGACTTGTCCTTACTTTGCTGATTGCCGTGCTCACCTCACTCAGGAACAGCTGGACTTAGTTCCTTCTTTGCCTCGTTGTCTGTCTGAGCATGGGTGGCCTGTCATACTGCCGGAGTGGGAAGTTCTTGCGGGCTGGTTTTCAGGGGGTAATGGATTTCATCAGTTGTCATCTTTTGAACTCCCGCGTGCACTACATGACCAGTTTGTAGATGTTTTTGTGGATGGAACAGCGGCCTTCCCCAAAGAGGCTAAACTTCGCTATGCTGCTTGGGTTGTGACATGTGCCCCTGGCGGACCGGGGACTTTGGATAACCAGGTGGTTGCGGGCGGCCATGTGCGCGGCTTGGTCCAGTCGCCCTATCGTGCCGAGCTGTCAGCCGTTCATGCGGCACTACAGTGGGCTGCGGATCAACACATCAAGGTGCGGATCTGGGGTGATTGCCAAGGAGTTTGTCAGGGTGTCAGAAGGCTCTTGCGTGGAGGCCGAGTCAAAACCAATGGTCCTCACTCTGATTTGTGGCAGGCAATTCGCACCCTGTTAGACGGGATTGATGCTTCAGATGTGGTGGTGTGCAAAGTCATGTCTCATGGCGATGTGAAACAGGCGACGTCGCCACTGGAAGAATGAGCACACTGGCATAACTCTCTCACAGATCACGCCGCCAATGTTATCAACGAACGCAGGGACCCAGAATTCTGGGAAGCATGGCGAGGGATGGCTAGTGCACTCGAGCAACACCGCAAGTTGCACCAAGCCATTTTGGTTACATTGTTGCAATCAGGTCGAAAAGCACACCGTGAGCAGCAGAAAGTTCCAAAGGCACGAGAGGTCAAGGTCGTCTCAGAGGTGAAGCTTGCAGTGCCCCCGCCGGTTTGGCGGCTGAGTGACAAGATGGTGCGGCGCTATGGGATGCGTAATGCTCAAGAGGTTCATCAGTGGTGGTCCAGGGTTGGTTCTGGCATGCTACAGTCTGATACAGCTTTGGTGTGGATTTCCGGACTGCAGCTTTTTGCAGCATTCCTTTTGGACACAGCGTATGAGGGGCCCTACCTCTGGAAAAAGCGGTGGTACTCCGAGGGAGATGCAATTCCACATCAAGCGTTACTGCCATGGGGATCCCGGGTGAAGGCATTTCTTTGTCTGTTAAGAGCATACTTGGGACAGAATGGCGTGAAGCTGTGTCAACGCATGACGAAACCACAGTCAGCCGCACTAGCTAAATGGGTTGTTGCATATCGGCTGCGTTGGAAGCCAAGTTTAATCGACCAAGTCGATAAGGCCTTGTTTCACACCATGCAGCGCCAACTGGTCACAGCATCAGATGTGGCGAACCTGCAGCCTCCAAGGACGGGGTAGCCTGGGACCGAGCGCAGGGACTCAGGGTCGTTCGCTGCCCTGGGCCTCTTCAATAACCCGCAATAACCCGCAATAACCCGTAATATTTTTCAGAGGGGTAGGGTTGAAACCACCAACCAGATACTCAACAATCCTGAGAATGTGATATGCCCTTGAAATATTCCACATAGTACCATTGGGTATTATCCATGAGGATAAACCATAGATGGGATTGGATGAGGGTTACCCCCTAAAAAACAATGGTCATTTGCGGTGTCTAAATTGGAGGTACCTATCATATGTAGGGCCTCGGTAAGGGCTAAATTTCAGTTGATATTATATACATATATATATATATATACATATATATATATATATATGTATACATATATATATATATATATATATATATTATGTATTGATATGTACACATACATGCATGCATGCATACATTACATTACATGACACTACACTACACTACATTACATTACATACATTACATACCATACATATGTATATATATATATATATATATTATAATATACCCATAACCATCCTCGATTCCTCTAAGCGTCGGAGGCCGTGGCCGAAGCGATTTCGAGTTCTTGCCCAGAGGCACGAGCATGGCTTGACGCCACGGCCGCATGGGGATGGGATGGAATACCATGGGGAAGATTAAGTTTTACTGGATCATATATAGGTATAGATTATTATAGATGTATATAGATGATTATAGATATTATAGATCATATAATATACATATATCATACACATTATAGATTATTATATATATATACTGGGAGTATATATATATACACACATGGGGATGACATTTTTTTTTGGATCTTTTTGCCGTGGGGAAAGATTGACAAAAACAGGGCTTTGACATATATTTTTTGTCCACATAATGAATAGAGAAACCATGTTCCACATCGATTCTCGTAGCTTTAGCTTCCACGTTGTTGTGCGATCTGCAGCAGTCTGGGGTTGCAGTTGAACCACCTGAAATGCCCCACGGAAGTTGGTGCCATAGAATGTGGGCATTCATAAGTTCGTTGAGAAACAAATCTATAAACCAATCTAGAAAAAATGAATCAATCCACCACAAACCATATATATATATATTATATTATAATTATACAATATATATATATATGCATATTGTTAGCCTCTTTGTAAACGTGTGCTTCTCACAAGACGATCAGAAAACCAAGGACAGCGAGATCCCTCAAGCTATGCAGACGCCTCCACTACTGAACTCGGATGATGATGATGCGACGACCGCCGAATCGGTTAAAAGCAAGTCTCCGCACACTGCACTTGTGAAACCTTACTTCGACTTAGATGGGCCATGGGATTCATTAGTTGATTATTAAAAATTTTGGTTTCAGATTGCCATGTCTTCCATTAATTGATTAATTACTATACATGGATTACACCTCATCACACGCCCACTTTCGAAAGTGAATTTGTTCGCCGCCTTCCAGGATCATCCAAGTACCTCACGTCCATTGTGGGACAGGTTTTAGCAGGCAGTCTTTAAGGATTTCATGCAGATGTCACGTGAAAAAAATGCCCGTCCATACCTCTAGATGATGTCTCCAGGTTGTTTGAATATCTGACAGATTCACTTTCTGCTATCCCAAGATCTATTTCTATGTCACCCAAGAGACCACTCTGTCTGCAGTGCTGTTCGCTACAATGTGCCGCGTTCAATGTTATTTTATAGTTTGATTTAGTTTTACCAATCTATAGACATCACACTCAAAATGATATCTACCGTAGACTCAACCATCGTCCATTTGCGCGTCAACTTGTCGAGGTATACTCCCAGTTTGGCTGAATAAACCCACCTAGCTGGTCTATAAACCCATCGACATCATGGGACTTGCCAAGTCGAAAAATGGGGGGTCACATGCCCATTGTTTTGGGACTGTTGCCTACTTTCATGGTTACTTGGAAGGTCTAAGTATATATATATATATGTATATATATATACGCAATATGCAACCATTTTTTTTTCATGAGAGAAATCGCATTTTCCAACGGAAGAGTTTGACCGTGTGACCCTGAGATTTGCCAATGAAAGGCCCAGTTTTTGCCAGTTTTTGGTGTATCCAAGGTCTCGCTCTCGATTTGGCCTCACCTTGTAGGAAATCCTCATGTTAGCCTCTGGTAAACTAACAATTTATCAATTTGCGAACTGGAAAATAGCCATAGAAATAGTGGATTTACCCAGCTAGAAAATGGTGATTTTCCATAGTTATGTTAGTTTACCAGAGGGTATATTTACCATAGGACCTGGTCAAACCTTAGAAAAATCCAAGCTCTTTCAAGGGACCAAAAGCCACGGTTTCAGTGGTCGCATGTGGTCGCAGGTTCGCCGCCAAGCTCCTCAAGTTTCAAGGCTGGGGTGGTGGGGATACAATGGCGATATAACGGAGATATCATGTGGATATAGTATGTAATATATACAATATATATATATAGTATGTTATCATCTATTATTATGGTAATATTCTAGATTATAGCAATAATAATTTGTCAAGAAATATGGGTGGTTACCATCAAATGTTTGATATAATTGATAAATGATGGTTGACTTGGGGATCAACCTCCCTGGGATTGGGATGAACTGATCCATGACATGGTAATCCCTATCGAGAAGCGATAAGCTTCGTGCAGAGACAACCAACGTGAGTCAGATCGGGGGAATTGGGGACACTCAGTTTCATCATTTTATACCAAATAATCCATTAAACATATTCTAAGGATGGTATCAATATCCAACACTCTAGGGTGAAACTAGCATCGATGTGGAAAACCGACCATTTATAGATGTTTATCCTGGAGAAACCATAGATTTTTGTTGCTAAACCGATGTCATCAGCTCCGTGGGGATATCCCCGTGTACGAAATTGCGTTCAGTTGCTGAACATAACTCCCATGAAACACTATGGTTTATGATACCTATAACGAACTAGTAAACTAGTATTCATGGGGTTTATAAATGTTTATAAACCAACATTCACATCACTGGGGGGGCGAGCCCAATGTAGAGATGAAGGTTGCTGGGGGAATCATCTGGATCTTTCCTATACATTGTGAGCCCCCCCAGTGATGTGAATGTTGGTTTATAAACATTTATAAACCCCATGAATACTAGTTTACTAGTTCGTTATAGGTATCATAAACCATAGTGTTTCATGGGAGTTATGTTCAGCAACTGAACGCAATCGTAAACGGGGGGGCCACATTGTAGGGGGATTGTCGAACTAACTGGGTGATTTTCCATGGTACCCTCCCTTTTCCTGAACGGCTGGAAAATATTCGATGAACTTCCCAGCTATAAGCTTCCATTTATGAGCAGTGGCTGCTAAACCCCTGTTGGTTGATGACATTTTTGGGGATTATACTAGCCAATTATTATAGGGATGAATATTGCCATATGGATGATTGAATGTATAAATGTCTTTGTAGATCTAATTATGGAACGCATTGGATGTATATAATTGCGGATGTATGAGCTATAGCCATTGTATATACCATCGGAAACCATTCGAATATGTTAGCATTTACACGACCCACTTTCACATGGATTGAAGCTGGATACTCGACAACACAGTTTCATGCTGGAATTGTTTGAAACCCTGACAAGCTTTCTTCCATAGACCATTGTGTTGAATAGAACACTTTCATACTTTGCATCAGTTTCTTCTATGTTTTACGTGCAATCTGACCGTCCCGGCGGACTCTCTGTGCCAGCGGATGGGCCATTGGATGGCCACTGAACACAAACCAGCGAACACAAGTCTTGGAATGACTCGGGGGTGCAGGCCACGGGGTATTAAGAAATATAATAGGGGATTTTAACCTCCGCAGTTGGGATTATGGGGGCCCCAAAAAGACAAAACTCTGAAATCTAGAGGCCACAAAAATTACTGGTTGGTGGTGACTGGAACATGGCTGGATTATGACTTTCCATTCAGTTGGGAATTTCATAATCCCAACTGACGAACTCATATTTTTCAGAGGGGTAGGTATACCACCAACCAGAGTAGGATTATATTTAATTGGATTGTCATGAAGACTTGTCTGTCCAAAGCGAACTTTTTGGCTGAGTAACGTGGGAAAGAGATTGCTTTGTCTTTGTTTGGGCATCCCCATTTTGGGCCATGTGAATGGGAACAACGTATGATATTTAGGGGTGCCCAATTTTGAGATTCACATGTCAAGAGAGTCAAGAGCCCCAACTGACTGAGATATTTTGAAGTGGCATTGAAATCGGCCAGCAAACTTTGGTGGTTGTGCATGGTCTTACTTTTCAAGAACGACACATGCGCAGTTTAAAAAACAAAAAAGACAAGTGGGTCGATGGTCACAGGGAGTTATACTACTGACATATTGGAACAATCATAACTCGCCACGAGTTCCAGGAATCGTCACAGGTGCCGCAGACAAAAAAGCGCAGACTTCCCTGCAGATGCATTGACTCTTTCACGATGTTGCCCGTCCAAGGGGTGCGAAGACAGACGGATCACGACAGGACCCAGAAACAGTCGGAGTTACATGAAGCGTGGTCCGTTGGAATTAGAAAACATGTGGCCCGGACCCCGTCTTTTTTAGCGCTTAGAGCTCCAGCAATGTCGCGGCCACGCCCAAACTTGCAGATGCTATGGGACGCGCGCGGAGAATGTTGCCGAAACGGGCATTCAAAAAAAATGGAGCAAACTGATGAACATTCTCAGCAAGTGGAACGGTCTTGTTTCCGGACGGTAAGCGACATGCTTGGCTGGTAATTTTGCTGGCGTGGCCTGTTGGCCCCCAGTTGTTACAGCACTGTCATCATGCACAGAAATCATGGCAGTGGCCGAACTTAAAGTCTTAAAGGCTTGGTTGGAATTCTTGTTCTACTTTGGCCCACCCCGAGTTTGACCGACTCATGCCCAAATAAGCGCAGCAAACTTGGCAAGCTTCCAAAAGATCTGAAAGACATCAATGAATCAATCACTTCGGGCACTTGGATGTGGCCCACGGGATGTTGCCGATGCGGTTTGTTGCTGGGATGGCCCACCGGATG